CGAATTGCTACTCAATTATTTATTCCAAGCATTTCATTAATTACAAATCATGTTCTTTATATTGTGGTAAACATGGTCGATGTGTACAATATATAAATAAAAATTCGTCATATTTTTGTCAATGTAATCAAGGATATTCGGGTTTACAATGTAATATTAAATATAATTGTTCATGTTCATCTGATTCATTTTGTCTTACATCATCTATTTGTATTTGTCCATTGAATAAATTTGGTTCAAAATGTTATTTAAAACATTCAATTTGTAAAAAATCAAATAATCCTTGTCAAAATAATGGACTTTGTATACCTATTGATGATCGTAAAGGTTTAAATCAATTTACATGTTTATGTAATGAACATTTTTATGGAACACGATGTGAAAATATGAAAAATCGAATTGATATTGAATTTGATGATAATAAAATTAGTATGATGTCATTTGTATTTATACATTTTATTACTGCTATTGAAAATGATAATCATCAACATACGACAATTTTAAAAAAGATTATTTTTGATCAAAATATAATTACAGTTTTTATAACACATTCATTTCATGTTGTCTTTATTGAATTAACAAATCAAACTTACTATTTAGGTGTATTAAGAGAAAAATTTATCGAATCCGAACATATTCAAACAAGAATATTGTCAAATTATCAATGTTTGTCTATACATGAATTAATGAATAATACTTTTCTAAATTATTCATTTATTCATCGTGTTAAATATTATCCTTATTTGTGTCAACAACAAAAACAACTTAAATGCTTTTATGATAATAGATACATGTGTATATGTGATATTAATCGTTTTTCTAATTGTTTTACATTTAATCATACTTTATCATATGATTGTCATGGAGAAAATATTTGTGAAAATGGTGGTCTATGTTTTCAAGACAATATTAAATGTCCTATTCTCTCAATATGCGCATGCCCTGAATGTTATTATGGTACAAAATGTCAATTTTCTACAAGAGGTTTTGTATTATCTCTTGATTATATTCTTGGTTATCATATTAAACCAAATGTTTTATTTCATCGACAACCATTCGTAATTAAAATTAGTCTCATTATTATAGTATTTATGTTCATTCTTGGAATGATTAATGGAATTTTATCTATAGCAATATTCTGTAAAGAAAATATTAGACAAACTGGTTGTAGTTTATATCTTTTGGCATCATCGTGTAATTCTTTACTTCTAATTATTGTATTAGTAATCAAATTTAGTCAATTAATTTTATCACAAACTGCTGTTCTTACTAATCGAACATTTCTTACATTGAATTGTATATTATTAGATATGATTCTCAAAGTTCTTGTTGCATCAAATGATTGGTTTTATGGATGTGTTACTCTTGAACGAGTACTTACTGTTATTAATGGTATCAAATTCAACCAAGTTAAAAGTAAACAAACAGCTAAATGGATAATTTTATGTGTATTTCTGACAATTATCAGTCATATTCATGATCCAATTCATCGTCAGTTAATTAATGATTCTGATGGTGATGAACAACGATTATGGTGTTTAGT